TTGGCGCCCATGGTTGCTTGGACAGAGGTGGAGAAACCAGCATATAACTTCACTCAAAAGCATGAAAATCGAACATCGGAAAACGAATACCTCCTGGTGTGACATACTTTAAACAGTTCTCACAGCCTTATGGGACATGCATTTCTGTTACATTCTAAATAGTTCTCCCAGCCTTGTGGGACGCGAATTTCTGGTACATATTTTATACATTTCTTACCGTCTCATGAGATATGTATTTCTGTTACATTTTAAACAGTTCTCTACGTCGGATGAGACATGCATTTCTGGGGAGAAAAATAATTAATCTACAATACAACTTATATTCTAACCAATAAAATGAAGCACAAGACTATAGTAGATGACACAATCAGTCCGTAGAATTTTACTTGTTAAGAAAAAGCAAAATTTATTATCAGTATAAATTGTGACCTCAGCCCTATTCTGGATGCTTATTAAACAACTAAATTAACCCGTACTTGCAAATGAGACCGTCTGTAAATAAACTACTTACATTATCCGATTCCAAAAAGAAAAAAGAAAACACGGAAATAACAAATATAATATCAACAACTAAAAACATGAAAATGGCATGACGGATTCAAGACATATTCAATCTCCAACCTCCACAACATTCCAAATGCATTTGTGGCGTATTTGAAAGTAATATTTGTCTTCTGCATGTGACTATCTTCAGACATCATTTGGGCAGTTAAACATTTTCCATAAGAGAACAAAATTGCATTGGCTCGTAAAGCCGGAAACGGACTTATAACAACATAATATTACTTGAACCTGAGCATGGAACCAGTTTTCAATTCACGCTATTGAGAAAGTTTTCGTTTTTTATCACAACAATGCAACCACCTTATCCATCAGCTGAATGCATCTCCGTTTTTTTTTTGTTGTTGTTGTTTTAAATAAACCGACGGATGGTGAGAAGAGATCTGGGAACCAAGTCAAGGTCTGGCTGAATGGACTACATACGTAGAAACGTGCGCTATATTTGTTCAGTTGGTGATAAATTCTTCTCGATTTCTCTAATGCAAGGAATTCATTTAAAACATTATTATAAAGTAGAAAATTCACTCTGGTTGTGTCAAATCTCTGCGGTTTGTATTTACAGTAGACATATTGTCACACTCTCTAAAAATTTTAGTACAGTAATGACAGGAAAATGACGAATCCGCTCCGAAAGAACTCTCGTCGAGGTGCGCGAGAAGCTGGATACACTTCTGCAAAATATTAGATCTTCTGAGATTCGTTACTGTTATCGCGCATTCAGCAAGCAGGTTAGATTTTAAATTTGGAGGAACAAATTAAAAGAGATTTACCTAGATTTGAGCCAGTATGGCGGACTTGTCCTTATGTTAATATCCATTAATGCTAACGTACATTAATTACTCCAAAAAAAAAAAATCTTAGAAGAGACGCGTTGCATCAAAGGCGTAATCGTAGATTGCATCTGCATTAGCAAATCGCATCACATTATTCAGTCACCTGCAAGCTTGTAATTAGATATAAATATTAATGATGGCGATGACAGTTCCTGCATGTCTGAGTTTTCACTGGATCACAATCGTCTTTTTCATAAGCACCTTCTATAAATCCAGCCAACTAGCTGATTTCTTCCTGTTTGTCAAACAGTAATTTTACGTCTCTCTGTTTTCCTTGCTAACATAGCTATAGTTTCTCGTGAGAAATGCGAGCCCTTGAAGATTTAGGTATAAAATACATGGTAGTTGGTGCACTTGGTTCCAAATATGCGCAGTTGTAACATTAAATTAGGGCTTTTATCTTAGAAACATTTATCTATACAAGAATTTTCTACAAAAAATATGTCAACTTATGGCTGATATTAAAGACAATAACTCAATCCCTTCTTTAAGCTAACGGACATTTTATTCACTTTCAAAGTAATGCGAAATTCAGAAACCATCATGCCTTCCCTGTCAGCACCGGTATCTTTGTAAAGCAAATTAGTAGACCTTCGGCAATGTTTAATTTGTAATAATAAATTATTGTAATGTAATACTTTTAAAAAAAAATATGCACAAAAATCCCATGATTTCGTACAATATTTCTTGTTGTTAAACTTAAATACTCTTTCGCATTATAGTTTGTTTCACACACACACACACACACACACACACACACACACACACACACACACACACACACACACACGAGGCGGTGAGAAAACCGAATCTTGGAAGAAGGCACTGGAAACGCCCTTTAATTAAGCGTTAGGATATCAAATTACAGGAAAACTGATCAGTGGTCGCATTCTTGTAATTATTTGATTTAACAACTGAATACCGCCTTCCACACGGATGCTTATTGTATTGTCTATGAGGACATCTCCGTCTGAACTATCGGTGAAAAGTCAAGAAAAAAAATCTTATCATTGCGTAACCTCCGATCCTGGACGACAATATTGGCTCAGGAAGTTGGGCATTAGATAACGCCATACCGGCCTCTTTAATTATATGCACGTAAAGCATACCAGTAATGATCATTATACTCAGGGAAAAGATACCATCTGATTGTCGACGAACTTTGTCTCACCCCTTTGTTGTACACTTGACTTATCGTGGCTTTTAAAATAAAACTAAAGTTCCTGAGAACCTCTGTTAAAGGTGAGATCTCCCTTATGAGTTTATTTTTTTAAAAAATAGTTTCGAAGATTTAAATTTAAAAAAAAAACTCAGTATGTTAGACTCAGGTAATACACATCGCTTGTGTTTCTAATGAAGTATTTTTTAACAGGTGCCATAAAAGTAAAAGAAATAATATTAAGAACTTTATAAATAAATTTTTTTTACTAAGCATTTGAAATAAAGGAAAGACTGGTTATCCGTTAAAATTTTTTTACTTGAGATTAGCTATTATTTTTTTACACATCTGGAATTATGAGAACGAGGCTTCATATCTTGTAGGATTCTCAAAGTCGTGAAGCTTGAAAATCGATTACACGATGCATAGGGAGGCCTTTCGCTCCGCTAAAACCGTTGCTGAAGTGTGCAACCGATTCTCGAGCATCGTGGCTTTACGAATCCGGCAAAACATTAAGTTCAGATTTTATATAAACATATAGGTCTTCTAAAGTCACATACTGAACACATCAGTCTTTAGCCATCCGACTTGAAATGTGCAAACCAACCACCCGCATTTTGGGAAAATATCTGACTTGAACTATTCAAGGATAATTGTAGACATTATGTTGTACAAGTCAAAAAAAGATAACTATATATATATATATATATATATATATATATATATATATATATATATATATATATATATATATATATATATATATATATATATATATATATATTTATATGTTTGTGTGTGTGTGATATTGTACAAGTCAAAAAAAGGATTAAATATAGACATGATGTTGTGCAAGTCAAAGAAAAAGATTATTATAATATATATATATATATATATATATATATATATATATATATATATATATATATATATATATATATATAATGTTTATAAAGTCAAAGGAAAATAGAAAAGATAAATACACAAACACTCATGCATGCACAAAGATGTGTAATTTAAAGATACACTTTTGCATTATTGTTCTCGTTAGCTTATCAATGTACATACAATACAAAAACAAGGTGAATGAAATGTGTTTGCTATGTTAAGATTAATCTTGACAATATTGACATCCTGGCGGGGCTGTCCTTTGCATTGGAGTTGGATTCAGGGTGCATAAAAGATTTCTTTCAATTGCAATGCTTTGAAAGACATTTAGAGTACATGACAATAACATCAACGATGATAACAAGAAAACAACATCCAAGATGATAACATTTACAGAGATGATGAAACGATAACACCGTCAGAGATCATACCTCTATCAGAGACGGTAACGTGATAACAGCGTCATTGATACCATAATAACATCGTCAGAGATGATACCATGATAACACCGTCGTATCTGGGAATTTGACAATGCCGTCGGAAATGATAGCACCATCAAAGATAATACCATAATAACACCGACAATAACATGATAAAGCCATCAGAGATGATACCTTGGTAACACCATTATAGATTATAATATGGTAACATCGTCGTCGATGGTAACATGATAGCACCATGAGAGATGACAACACAATCAGAGATAATTACACAGTCAGAGCTAATACCGTGAGAAAACTATTAGTGAAGATAACGTAAAACGGTCATAGATGATAACACTATCAGAGATGATAACATGATACCATCCTTAGCGATGGTAACATGATAACAGTTAGAGATGACAACAGTATCAGAGATGAAAACACCATCAAAGGTAATACTATGATAACTCCGTCAGAGATGATCATATGACAACAACATCAGAGATGATACCATGATAACAACATTAGAGATTAAACCTGGATAACACCATCAGAGATGAGAACATGATAACACCGTCAGAGATGATAACATAATAACACCATCAGAGCTAACAATAGGATAACGCAATCGGATATGATGACAAGATAACACCATCGAGATTAAAACGTGATAACACCATAAGAGAGGTGATACCATGATAACACGATCGAAATGATATCATGATGACACTGTTAAAGATTGTCACATAATGACACCATCATAGATGATACCATGATAACACCATCAGAGATGATATCATGATAACATAGTCGGCGAAGGTAACATGATAACACCGTTGCGATGGTAACATAACACCATCAGAAACTATAACATGATAGAACTTCAACAATGATAACGTGATAACATTGTCGATAATTATTGTATGAAAACACCAGTATTGAAAATCATTTAAAGGTGGTTTTGTATAGTACAAAATTCTTGAATCAGTCTTGCTAAGGGAAATTGTCGATTCATGATTTTGGGAGTTTAAGGCCATTTTTCAGCACATGGCGGCCAGAACACTTACTGGAGGAACAACCCGAGAACAACCACCGACCCACTTGAAGCTACAAGCTACCTTCCTCACATACCCATATTGGTCAAGCCGAGACTCGAACTCAGGAGAACAGAGGTGAAATGAGAATGGTCTGTAAAGGCCCTTAGACCACTAGGCCACCTGGGAACGAAGAACGCCAATGACTGACAATTGTTAAAGTCGCCTATGCTAATTTAGAGCTTTTGCGACTAGTTTATGCCTAATGACTGAGCATTTTTAATTGGTCCGTGTTTTGGAATGATGCCACAAAAACACCGCGTTTATGTACGATATCCGTATTTTTCAGTTGCCTGTCAGGAGGATGTCAAATTCTGTCCAGTTGTTCTAGTGGACATTCCCCCATCCCCAGTATTGTGCAAGCCACCTGTTTAATTAACCCAAGTTCTGAGTTGAAGATTGCCTAATCTTATTTTTATGTAGTTAGAATTTTGTTTGTTAAGTGTACTTCCATTGTCAAAATTATACCAACCAGGTGGGTGTCAGCAACGCTGTGATTTTGGGATCACGCATCGTTAGTCTTAGTTGTTGTTTTTGTTGGCGGAGAGTCCAAAGGATCAAGGTAGTTTTATGTAAAGGTGTAATCGAATGAGGCCTTAGATTGCCAATAGAAGTGCCTCTCGTATATAAAAAGTTAGTGGGGGAAGAAGGGAGAGGAGGGGGAAGGGGATTCTTAATGGAAAATCTGTGAACAACACAGGCTTGCTGTCGCTAGGATTTCAACCAGGTGTTTGCTAATATGTTTTCCATAGCACCTGTTTTAGTCTCCTTGTGTTAGTAGGAGTTGAGGGTGGCATAGAAGGGAGATGGCAAAGGGCTTAATATAGAAAATCTTTGTAACACACAGGCTTGTTGTACGCAGGATTTCACCCAAGTGCTACTAGTTTGTTTTTCCTAACACCTGTTTTGGGGCTCTTTTGTTATTTCGAGTGTTAGAAGAGGGTGGATGGAAAACAGAGTTTGGTTGATTGCATTTTGTGGAAAGTATTTTGCAACGCGGGCTTTTTGCTTTCAGGATTCCACCCAGATGTTTGTTAGTGTGTTTTTCCTAGCACCTGTTTTGGGCCCTTTTGTTAGTAGAAAGGGGTGGGTGAAGAGAGGGTTGTGAAAGAGGGGTATGAGAATAGGAGGGGAGAGTAAGTAGAGTTGTGGGCCTTATGGCTTGGAGTTTACGACAAAGCCACCTTTTTACGAGATGAATTTGTCACTCGTTGCTTTGTTTTGTTTGCTTGTCCAGTGGGCCAGTGCTTGCCCAGATATGTGACAGAGCTTGCAATGAGAGGTGGGAATGAGACAGAACTTGCTCTTGTGTAGGCGATTGCTTGCCCTAAGGAAGGGACAGAGTTTGAGTTCATTATTTTTTTTTTTTGTTCTGCTTCCGGTAGTCCTGGTTCTTGTTCGGCAATTAGAGGCGGAATTTCCAGTCCCTTTCATGGTCTCCGTAGTCTACGCTCCCCAGTTGTTCCTTACATGACTTGTGTCTACCTAGTCCAGATTTGATGTTCAGTCACTCGTCAATTTAGAATTAATATTGTTCCCTCTTTGTTTGTTAGTGGTGGCATGATTATAGTTTGGGTGGGGTAGACGGAAGAGTTAAAGATTACGTACATACATCATGCATACATACATACATACATACATACATACATACATACATACATACATACATACATACATACATACATACATACATACATACATACATACATACATACATACATATATACATATACATACATACATACATACATACATACATACATACATACATACATACATACATACATACATACATACATACATACACACACACAGAGCTTGGTCTGTGTTGCCATAGTCCAGTTTCTTTGTTGCTGATGATACCCTTATGATTTGTTTCTTAATGACTCCCTTTTAGCGTGGCAGTTGTTGCCATACTTGTTTCCCTCGTCTTTGTTGGTATCCTTGACTTTCATATTGTTTCTAGTGCTCATATGTTTTCCTAGTGTTCCGTTTCTTTGCGTCTTTAGGTTAGGTTGGGATTTGCTTTTTAGCCGACGTTTGCCATAGTCCTTGTTCCTATTAGCTGTTTTGAGGACTCGCCTTTTGGCTTGGTCCATGTTGCCATAATCCTGTTTCCTTTTGTTGCTTTGGTGTTCTTAAGGGTTCCGTTTCTTTGGCTACCCCCTCCCTTTGGCTTAGCAATTGTTGCCATGGTCCTGTTGTCCTGGTGCTCTTTTCAATTAAGTCTTTTAGACTCGGGTTGGGGACTTGCTTTTGAGCTGGCTTTTGTTATAATCTCTGTTCATTAAATCGCTTTACTTGCCATGTATCCATTATTGATCCTGACGTGTTCATGTTTGGTTATCTGAAAGTATTGGCTCCCTCCTCGTTTTGTTGATTTGATCTTTTGTGATTTTTGATGTCTTAATCCCTTTCCTCATTTGGTGTTACTTACCCTTATTTCTTTAGCTTTGTTGTTGTTAAGCCTAATTCACCCGGGAGATATTTGTGAATATTTAGTTGTTCGTTGTTAGTCCGGTTAATGTTAGTGCTGTATTTGGGCATTATAGTGTTTGGCGGTTGATGTAGATGTACATTTCTTCTCGTTTGTTGTATTTACCCGCTGCTGTGCATATATTTTTCATTAGTTTTTATACGTGTTTAAAGTATGATATTATGCTTTTATAGATGGTTTTCAGGTTTACATTCTGTTTTCTGTACAATTGTTCCGGTTATGTTGTAGGTAATCCTATCCACTTTAAGTATTCCCTGAGGTTGCTGCGTTGAGTTTGATATCTGGGGCATGAAGATGTCGTCCAGTGTTTCCGGGACTGGGCAATACGGGCAGATGTTGTTGTGGTTGCATTGTTCTATTAGGTATTTTCCGAAGCTGTCCTTTAGTAAGGTTTTCCCTGTCATAAGGTGGTTGATGGTTCTTACGTCTATTACTTCCATATCCTTTCATACATAGATTTTCCTGGTGATTTATTTTTGTAGGTGGAGTAGGTGTCTTCCTTTATTGGAGGTGTTCCATATATGTTGCCATTTCTGGTTAATGCGTTGTTTTACTTGACTGTATTGTTCCTGAATGCTGTAGGCGAGTGGGCATATGTCGCTGTTGAGGAGGTTTCGTTTCTCTGCTAGTTCTGCTTTTTCGTTTTCGATCAGGTTGATGTGCGATGGACGCATGGGAATTCAGAGAAGTTTATTTTTCCCTCTAGCTCTTTTAGCAATAGCATTGTTCCTTCTAGCATGTTTTCTGTTTTTGGTTGATCCCGTTTTAACAGAGTTCAGGATGCTTAGTGAGTCCGTGATGATGACATGTCTGAGGTGGGTTTGGGTTTGAATCCACTGCAATGATTGGTTAATTGCCCAGAATTCAGCTGAATAGATGAAACAGTCGTCTGGGAGTCTTGCACCTATTTGGGTTTGTTGTTCGGGTATCATAATTACTGCTGTTGTTCTATTAAGTTCCTTGATTTTGGATCCATCTGTATACATTTCCTTGACTAGTTCTTGGATTTCCATTAGTATTTTCCATGGGATTTTGGGGTGTTATTCCTACACGGTGTGGGATCATTGATTAAGCGCTGCTGAAAGTCCTCCATCTTAAAAAAAACAACAAACAAAAAAAAAACAAAAAACAAAACACAATCTCAAGGTCCTATTACCTAACACGAGAAAGTGATTTGATTATGATTTTTCACGTTGCTTTGACAATTTCTCATTCATGTAGCTACGATGGTGACAGTGTGACAGTTTAAAGTGATGTATGCCATCAAGCTGTAGACATGTAACACGATATCCCACCCAGTCATATTATCATGACACCAGGCTGACCCGCGAATCCGCGATCTCCCGCATCCGAGGTGAACGTTCTAACTACTTAGGCCACCGGAGCGGTTTCAACTTAAGAAGAAATAAACATATATTAAGCTGACACCGGACTTATAAGGCCGGCATTTTGTCTATGATAATATTATTGCTCAACACTGGGTTAACACTATCTCTGTTTGATTCTGTTTGCCTTTTGTCTTCTCTTTTCGTTTTCCTTTGTTTATCTCTTTTGACTGATACTTTACAGGAAAACACATTTTAGCATAACAGCATAGGATTTTTGAACAGGAAACCTTAGCGTATTTGTATATGATGATAATAAAATTATGATCTCTATAGTCTTAAATAATAATAATAATAATAATAATAATAATAATAATAATAATAATAATAATAATAATAATAATAACATTAACAACAACAACAACGATGAAGACGAAGATGATGATTATTGTTGTTGTTGTTGTTATTATTGTTATTATTATTATTATTATTATTATTATTATTATTATTATTATTAGTATTATTATTGATTTTTTTCGTAACGAAGTTGCTGTTTTATTCTGTTTTTGTAAATTTTTCCACTTGTGTGACAATACACTGTCCAAAGGTAACAAGCAATCGGTCTTTAAAAATTTAAACAAGGAAGTTTTTGATCAATGCTCTGATGCTATCCTAAATTTGAACGATAATTTGTTCACTATGTATCATAATTTATAAGATATGAATTGCAAAATGAAAATAGAGGTGAATATAACATGTAAAATGTTACAATTTGTCCCCGTCCGTCCTTCACCTTTTTCGCTTCCGCGTATTAACTATTGTTTTACAGTATATATCTTCATCAATCACCATAGACTGGTTATAGGGAAGAAACATATCGTTTTTGGTGTCAAAAGATCATGTCAGGGTCAACGTGACTGACATATAAAAAAATGTGGTACGCTTTCTTTCCTTCGCACAATAACATTATTTCAACATCACAGACACGGACCGAACTTTGTGGAGGCTTTCAGGAAGAAATCTATTAATTTGGAGTTAAAAGGTACAGGTTTAATAAAAAAAAAAAATAGTTTATGCATAGTAACTTTAGTTAATGACCGCATACATTGACCACGGACACCTGATGGCAAAATCATCTCCAGGGTCAACCATATCCTGCTAGTGGTATCTGCATTAAGGGCGTGTGTATAATGTACCGTTTGCTGCACTCTATTAACACTGACTCCTGCCACAACTTGTGTGCGTGTTTCACATAAATCTCTGGTCAACTACCATATGTACTCGCTTATAAGACGAATAAAAACAAAAC